CCGACACTGGATGAGACGCAGAGAGCAATTGCTCAGCTGCGAAACAGCAAGTGCGCTGGGGCCGACGGGATCCCGCCTGAAGTATTGAAACACGGCCGACCTGCGTTGATGACTGCGCTGCACCACTTGGTGCAACGCGTATGGATTGAGGAGGAGGTGCCTGCTGAGCTGAAGGATGCCCTTGTGCTACCACTGTACAAGGGCAAAGGGAGCAAGCAATGTTGCACGAATTATCGTGGCATCAACTTGCTGAGTTGTGTGGGCAAAGTGATTGCCCGGATCCTGCTTAACCGCCTCGTGAGTCAGGTTGTGGAACCTAACGTGGCGGAAGAGCAATGTGGATTCCGTTCGGGTCGCAGCACTATAGATATGGTGTTTGCGGCTCGTCAGTTGCAGAAGAAGTGCAGAGAACGACACCAGCCATTTTACTCGCTTTTGTTGATTTCACCAAGGCATTTGATACGGTGAACTGCAAGTCATTGTGGCTGGTGTTGGGTAAGTTTGGTTGCCCGCGTAAGTTTGTAAGTTTAATTGAATGTCTGCACAGTGGTATACGAGCGAGGGTGCAGCTGAGTTGGGAGACCTCGGATGAGTTTGCAGTTGTCTCTGGTGTGGAGCAAAGCTGTGTCTTAGCTTTAAACTGTTTAATTTTTATGTTCATGCAATGATGTCTTGTGCTTTTGATGCTGCTTGTGCTTACGGTGTTCGTGTGGAGCACCGTATTGATGGTGAGTTGCTGAACATCCGTCGTTTCGGTGTGAGAATTCTAGTCTGTGAGATAACTATCCGTATCTTGCTGTTTGCTGACGACTGTGCGTTGTTTTCACAGAGCGCGGATGAGTTGCAGCACATGACTAGTGCTCTGGCTTCGACAGCGGCCTAATTCGGGCTCAACATCAACACAAGCAAAACTGTCTGTCTTTTTCAGCCTTCACCGGAGGTGCAATCTTCAATATTGCCGCGAATCAGCATTGGTGCTGAAGTATTGGAAACCACCTCCCGCTTTTGCTAACTGGGGAGTGTGATATCGACTGATCAGCAGCTACACGTTGAGTTGCGTATTCGCGTGTCGAAGGCGGCAGCTGCATTCGGGAAGCTTGAGTACCGAGTGTGGAACAACCATCAGCTTAGCATTGGCACGAAGCTGATGGTGTACAAATCCATGGTACTGTCCGTTCTTCTATACGGCAGTGAAACGTGGACGATGTACCGTCGGGATGTGCGATATCTCGAGCGGTTCCATCAGCAGTGTCTGCGACGAATTTTGCGGATCGATTGGGGCGCCAGAGTGGCAGACACGGAAGTGTTGCGCCGAAGTGGGATGTATGCAGTGGACGGCATACTTTTACTACGACACCTGAGATGGCTCGGTCATGTGAGCCGTATGGATTCGGCGCGGATACCGAAACAACTTTTATACGGTCCGCTGAGTATTGGGAAGCGTCACGTGGGGAAACCAAAGTTACGTTACCAGGACATGATTAAAGTGAGCCTCACACGTTCTAATCTTGATTGCAGATCATGGGAATCGAAGGCGGTTGATCGGAGTGCATAGCGCGATCTAATCACGAAGGCAGTTGCTGAAGTGCGGGAGAAAGCCCTCATACATGCAGAGAAGAAGTGGCAAGTGCTGAAGCGGCAAGCACCGATAGGTTGTACATTACTTCGAACGCATGGTGCTGTCGCACATGCGGAATCGCGAGTGCCTGAGTCAGACAGGCTTAGTGAGTCCTGAGCGAGGTCACTCGGGACCGCTACCGAAGCGACGACGGGTCCTGTAGGGAACGTAGACTGAAGGGGCGCAGCGTTTGTAGGTACGCTGCATTCGATTTACTAACCGCGTGATTGCATGCTACGTCTATTTATTTTAGGTGGTAGGTTTTCAATTTTGTCCTAATGCTTCTCTTTCTCATATGAATGCCCACCTACACTCTGTTCCATAAATTTGGACACGTAGCTTAAGCCAATTGTAGTTAATTTCGATAGCATTTTCGTGTTCGTGGCATTTCCGTAAAATATACTTTCTGACCTCGTGAACTTATCTCGGATTATTTTACGAACAACTTAGTTCATATGCTCTTTAATTTAAGGTTTTTGTCACCGTTTCCTTATGTACTACTCGCTTTATTTTATTTGTTGTCTTTTATTCAAGTGGTTGGCTATTGCTTGATATTCCCGGTGTGGCTGCGTTTGATGTGCATGTTGACAAGCTGCCTACCTGTCCATTACTCACTACCTCATCCATATTGTCTCTAGGAGATAGTTAGTCGTTGCTGGTGGGGACGGGGTGCACGTCCCTTATGGTCGTGCTAGGCTCGAAGAGTGATTCCATGGACTCAGTGTAGAGCGGACTACGGTCCAGCCACGGCCTTGTGTGTGCTTGATTCCCAAATACAGCGTGCTTGTGTTTGCCAGTGAAGGAGTGTGAGCCGGCACTGTTAACGAAACGTGGCTCCCATCCACATGCCTCCCGGTCTTATTCCTTCGGGTTTACACTGGAGATGGGGTGTGTGGTTGGTGCAGCGCAAGCCATCCATTGTCCCTCTGTAGGCGCAGGCGTCCTTTGGCTGGCTACAGTGGCAGACAAATCCGAAACCGGATGCTGTCTACCAGTTTGTGCTTGCAATTGTGTTGCTCCTTTCTTGAATGTTTAATATCGTCGGCAATGTGCGAGTAGAAGATTGACGTTCGTGGGTTGGGAAGGATTAACCGGATATCCGCGGGGCAGTGACTATTTTGTGGTGAATCACGACCGCCTTATTATAGCGTTGTTAAGCAGACATTTGTTGCTTGTTATATGGAAATGCTTCCCAGGCTAAACCTACCACGTCCTTGAACACTGCCGCCGAACTTTTAGCTGGAACTGGTTAAACCCGTACCACGCAACTGGCTCCACGAGGAGGTTGTTCTGCTTGGCAGTCTGGTTGATAAGAATTCGTCTTATTTTGTCCAAATCCTGTTGACAACTTGATGGCCCATCATACCGCAGATCTTTGACATCCATACGACGTTCTACTTGCCATTTGAAAGCGATCAAATGGTAGACTTTTTAACTTTTCCGCCATTGTTGCCATCTAAGCCAAACAGTTTCTCCCACTTTATCTTATTTTACTCCTATAAATGGTTTTTCACCTATGTCTGCGGAGGAATACCTTCATTCCTTATCACAGCTTTGTATTCTGCAATCTTTAGCGATATGTCTAGCCTTCAAATTCGTTATCAGTCTGCGTTGAGAGCCATGGAATATTTCTGGGATTGCACGGACTAGTCGCAAGTTGGAGCATAATTGCATTATACATATTCAGACTCTCCTATCCGGAGCGAAACCCAGGGTTTTTGTATTTAGTTTCAGTGATTATTACCAGGTTTTTGTATGGACTGCTCAGGACCCACTGTTCGTTGCTTTGCTAACTGTGTGATATGTCTTCTCTGGCGATGCCAGGTTGAATCCATCGTCTTTTATCTGAAGCATATCCCACTTTAGTCCCTTTTCTTGACTCGAACTTACCAGCAGTGCGTTGTGCTGTTTCTTGCAGTGCTCTTTGCTTGGCACCCTATGCCAACGCTGAAAAGTTGAGAGTTAAAATTTAACTGCACCAAATAACAACTATTAATGTTGGAAGTTTGTGAGTAGGGTAAATTTTGTAGAAAGTGGAGTCACGATTAAAATTCACGAACAATAATATGCCTCGACAGGGAGTCGAAACCCGGTCCAGGAATTTCCGGTCCGCTGCTCTACCACCTGAGCTACCGCGGGCTGACGATTAGGTGCGCAAATTTTAACACATGACTTCTGCTTGGTGCGCGACGTATTGCCAATGGGCTCACAGAAGTCATGTGTTAAAATTTGCGCACCTAATCGTCAGCACTCGGTAGCTCAGGTGGTAGAGCAGCGGACCGGAAATTCGTGGACCGGGGTTCGACTCCCCGTCGTGGCATATTATTGTTCGTAAATTTTAATCGTGACTTCTACTTTCTACACAAAATAACAACCATGTTCATAGTTTAAGCATATCTTCTGATATTGGCATCACGGCCTTCCATTCACCGACTCTTTGGCCTCCTCCGTTGTGATCACGTTCTGACTCGCGAATTGACTACGGTGCACCATATTATTCGATCGTCCGATCAAGTCCTGACACAGACTCACCCACACTGTCAGTGTGCACCGAATTTCATCAGCTGCTCACATCGTTACTGTTTCCGTATTTGGTCAGCTGATCTGGCACGCAATCATAAGGCTGCAGATGAGCGCCGGATTTCATCAGCTGCTCAGCTGACCCCTTACAGAGCTGTTCACACTGCTCATTCGACTCAGCGTTGTAGCACCGCCCGCAAATATGCCTTCGATTTGGTTGTCTAATACCGTTGGACACTGAAGCACTCTCACGGATGCATGTTCTTGAGATGGCGAATGTGGCTTATGCCCGGAAGAGTGTGTAATGCACCTCACATTCTCATCATATGATATATTCGCGGTCAGTGTACCCCTTTGCTTAAATATTCACCTGATCTCACTTTGTTTGCTACTTCCACACTACTTTAAGCCCATGATTAAGGTTCACCAAACGTAATGCGCTCTAACCTCTCTAAGCCACGTGTTTACCTCGTCGCCTTGAGCTTGCCTCCTCTGATCATTCTCAACGGTCGAACTCCGAAAGTAAACTCCAAATGACTCGGGCTCCATACATACACACACACATGCACCTCGTTTCTTTGGCTTTGACCACAGGTGATCTAATCTAGTATGTGTCGCACTCACTGAGGCATAGCGTGCCGGGCAGACCCACAGAGTATCACCACACACTTGGTTTCTTCTTTTGTGCATAGCCTGTGGCGCATTATTATAATCATTCTAAATTTGATCAACTTCCCGACTTACTATTCCTCTGATTTATGCGTCTGTCGTTTGTGATTACTGCTTCACACTTCCTAGTTTTACTTTGTATGGACGTCATTAGAGTCTCACATATTTGGACGTCTTTGTTCACTACACACAGACCACATTTTCTCACAAAAGCAACCCCAAGCTACTGGACCAGCTCCAATATTGCGAGGCAACCGGCATCCCTCTGGTCATTATCCTTGGCGAAGATGAGCTTACTCGTGGTATGGTCAAAATGCGCGTCGTGTCTACGCGGGTAGAACGGGAAATCTCCTACGATAGATTAGTCGAAGAAGTACAAAATGAATTGTCCAAGTTGCGCATTGCACGTTGATGTTTGCGTCCAGCTTTACTGAATACTCTTACCGTGTGTAATGCCGTCCCCGGGGTCCGTCCCGCACACTGCTCCCTTTCTTTTTTCTACCTCTCTCCTTCTGATGCTGCTTGTATTATACTCAGTTGCCTTTGATATATCTGTTGCCATCTCTGCTTACCGAACTCTCAACCTGAAAGCCGGGCGCACTTCTGCGTTCTTCCTACTTGGCTGTCTGTCGTTACCGTACTCAGTTCTTGAATGCAATTAACTAACGCCGCATGAGAGGAATTTTGGTACGAACCCGATGCCCGACTTTCGCACACGCGCTTCTGTTTACACATGGGGTGTTGTTTCTGTATACATGGTCTTACGAGTTTAGGTGTCACCTTGCCCTATCCATATGCGAAGCAATGGTGATGATAGAAGACCGATTTTCATGTATCATGAACAAACAGCAAATGGAGTGTCTCAACTTGGAGAACTTCTTGACTACTTCACTGGTTTCAGAGGATAGGGTTTCTAAAGATATGCGCTAATGACCTGATCGATAGCGTCTTCAAACTATTAGTAGATTTTCTAGAAATGAGATTAACGTGTTTAGTCTCGCACATGCTGCAATTGCCTTATTGTTTCGAACAAAACAGGATCGGTTATGGGTGACTGTTGAAAATCAGTGACGAAAGAGTATCCCAAATGAAATCTCCATTGACACAATTTGTCGTAATCAAGTCACAGAAGTAAGCAAACTATCATTGCTTCTACGGTGCCTGTAAGGGTTGATCGTTTGCATACTGTTCGTCATTATATTACTGAGTATATTCACGCGGTGTGATTTACAAGTATTTCATCAGACACTTCTTGGATGCGCCATAGTCGCGGTGATACCAACAAAATTCTTCGATGGGATTGGTGTTATCTGACTGAGAAGGTGCAGAGAGAACGTTGCAAGGCACTCGATGCAAGCACAGATGAGCCGGAATGAACGGTAGCCAAAACATGCTCAACGTCCGGCCGTGTCACACGCTGCTTCGAGGCCTTCGCCGCTGCTATCCTACTGTGAAGCAGCGCAATTTCCCCATCTTTAGTGTAAGATCGGCCTGACGACTTGGAGCAAATCTGAGCCTCGGTTTTCATCTGTGAGAATACGTCGCCGAAACTACTGGTCTTCTGTTGCGGATGACGTTCGAACGCAGTGTCTGCTTTGGTAGTTGTTTCAAGGATGTATCTAGAAACATCGACAGCATTACTGGAAATGGCTTTGGAAGACTGCAAGCCACAGTTTCTTTGTCCCTTCTTCGCTTAAGAATAAAGGACCAGCGATGCGTTGAATTTCGCGGAGCAACATAGTTGCCTTGCGATCTCCCAGCTTGAGACCATTGAGCTATTCAAATAGAGTCCGTGTGCTGGGCTGCACCTCCTTTAAAAGCGCCTGCTTCACCGTTCCATACTTTGCCTCATTCCATGAGCAGCGTCACAACCGACGAAGGAAGGCGTGGAACGAGCTGATTGTACCTCGAACTTGTGAATGCCCTTATTTTTGAGTTCCAGCTCCAGTATGAGTTGTGTTCCATGAGATTCGGAACAGCCCAAGTAAGCATGTTTACGCTTTGAAACCGCTCAGATGCCATTATCGAGTTGTGAATCGAGAAGTTCATGGATGAACAAATGCACGATGAAACTACTGAAATTAGGCAAGAAACAAATAAATACACGTATTAAATCGAGAAAAAGGAACTAACCTACCAGAAAATGCAAACGACGACAAAGTGTAACTTTCGCGAGTGCGAATTGAGTCACCAATCTGTAGGACTAGTAAATACTAGTCCGGGACGGTACGCGTAATCAAGCGCGGATTTCAGAAAGCAATTGAACTCTGACACAGGGGATTGTATTCGAGAAAGGCTACAAACGGACGAAAACGAATGAAGCGACGTGAGCGTACGTTAGTGCCGGGATTCACCGTGAAGACAAGTGATGAGCCGGAGGCAGGTAAACATAGCCGTAGGTTTGGCATTAAAACAAAAGTCAATAATATACGATTGAGGAACAAATTTGTATATAAATAATCCTTTGGGTTGCTACAAGGCAGGCACCTTGTTACTATGCACATCAAGCGCAGCCACTCCGGGAATGTTAGACAACAGCCAATCACTTGAAGTGACGATATCGAATAAAGCATAGGGATATGCCGACAACTGATTTATCATGTGAAATACTAGGGTTATCAACATATCCGCGGTAAGTGTAAGATAGCAGAACACAAGATCAAAAAACATTTGCAATAACCGTGAATGAAATTGACCACCTTTCGTTTCAGCGACGTCAGTAAATAGAAGATTCTACAGATAGACATTAAAATGAGGCAACAAAATGAGTAATAACAAACTATAGTAAACCGATTACGCAAGCACGCCGTTAGGAAATCGAATGCAGTGTACTTACCAACGCTGCGCCGGTTCTGCCTACGTTCTCAGCAGCACCCGTCGTTTTTAAAATGCTGGTCCCGTGTGGCCTCGCTCCTCTCTCACTAGACACGCCTGACTCAGACACTCGCGACCGCATGTGCTACAGCATCATGCGCTCGATGTCGATGAATACACCCTATCGGCGCCTGTCGGTTCCGCATTTACCGCTTCTTCTCCGCCTGCACGAGGGCTTTGTTTTGCACCTCTGCAACTGCCTTCATGATCAATCCGCGCCATGCACGCCGATCAATCGCCTTCGGTTCCCAACACCTGATATATATATATATATATATATATATATATATATATATATATATATATATATATATATATATATATATCAAATGACAACTGTGATATCATGAAGGTAGGTACCTAAAGATTCTCCGCGAAGGATATGGATGAATACTTCGTCTAGTGACCGCAAGGAATTGCACATCGATTTCTATCTTGTTTTGCCGAAACTTGCGGCTATTTTTCCTGCTTTATTGTAATTTACCATTACAGCATACGGTGAGCACTTTCACCCGGTGCACCGAAATTAAGCATGTGTAAGAGCTACCGACTGCATCAGCGTGTGTGATGCTGTGCGTAAGGAAACTTCACAGCGAATACTCAAAGCCAGGTTAGCCCCACTGAAAATCAAGTGACACTCGAAGCTATGGAATAATGAAACCGCGATGCATGCTTTCTGGTACCTTACATTTGCATCTGGTTGCGGCTTGTTGAAGCTCCAAATTCACTATGATAGAGGATAGCTTGTGTAGTTAACCAATTTCCTAATATATAGTGGTGATTTTGGTATAATTCAGAGGTAATTTATCACAGTCCACTCTCAGTCAACAGACTTTGGCGCCACTGAAAAAGCAACAGACCTCGCTGCTTCGACCTGTGTCTTGGCAGTGGTGCGCATTTCTCGGAACCCTGCACGGTTCCGACCGCATGAATTCCGGATGCGAGCAACTAGTGCCACTTAGCCATGGGAGATGGCCGCAGACCTGCATAGTTGACATTGATATAGCCTGGCTCCTCTTCCACTGCCATGCTGGTTACAAACTGTATAGAAGACAGCAGTTAGCCCCACGAGATAGGAGTTTCCGCATACTGAATTTGACATGGAGTCGGAAGCGGGCCGTGTTCGGATGAAGGCGCACCACTGACGAGATCCAGGAGGTCAAAACAGCGCTGTCTGGTGCTATTCAAGACGTGCCAAAGCAAGCGGACTGAGCGTGAACTGTGATGAATTATTTTTGAGTTATACCAAAATCACTACTCACTGGTAATCTAAAATCCATCCGCCCGTATAGATTCTAAGGGCTGTGTCGTACACAGTCGCTATGCGGAAAGCTATCTTGTGGGGCTAACTGCTGTCCTCTGCACAGTTCGTAACCAGCATGGCAGTGAAAGATCAGCCGGGCTATATCAGTGTCAACTGTCAATCATGCAGGTCTGTGACCATCTCCCATGACTAAGTGGCACTAGCTGCTGGCATCCGGAATTCATGCGGTAGGTACCGTGCAGTGTTCCGAGAAAGGTGCACCACTGAAAAGTCCCAGAAGTTCGAACCAGTGCCCTCTGTTGCCTTCTAAGACGTGACAATGTCTGTTGCCTTCCAGTGGACTGCGATGATTTACCTCTGAACTACCAATTTGTCTGAGAATGATTTAGGAAGAACCGGCAGGTTAAGTCATCTACAAAGTACTAGTGTTTCGTACCTATTTAGTGTAGCTAACCCACATGAAGTGCTACTCGCCGAGGGAGGAGTTTCGGAGCAGTCTTGATCATCAGCACTATAAATTACCCATGCTTCATCTGCTACCAGTTTGTCATTAGCCAAACGAACGATTCCTATGCACAGATAGCCATTTTTCCCAGTGATGCCTAAGGCAATTAAACAAAATAGGATGGTGCTATGTTCGTACAGAGCTACAGAGTAGTTACGGTGTTATTGTAATCTGGAATCATTGTCCTGTGCAACCGACTACAGTTGCAATTAAGGACCGGCTAGACCCTGTCTATATTTAGATCTCATGCCAATGTGATCAACGTTTCACAAATCCAGCAATCTGCGAATACTCTCATAGGATCCGTCCCGAAAAACATCTGATAATACTAGCTTTCTAATAATGTTACTTATTGCATAATCCACTAAACATTGCATCATTGATGCATAATGAATACTACTTCGAAAATCAAATGCAATGGAGCTTGCTGTACACATGCTCGTTCCCCAAATCGGAACCAATCCCGCCCTTTGGAAAATATGCTCCTTTATTTACCCATTTAAGGTTCCCAAGATAGGATTACTCAGTGAAGTTATGTGAATCATTGTTCATTAAATTTTTTGCTTCATCGAATCGGGATAGCTTTAAATGGCGGACAGCGTTACTGGACTCCTAGCATGATCAGACGACCATTGACGCACTATAGCCAGGTATCCACAGCACTGCTGGGTCTGTACGCCCTTACCCTTCAACCTGTACTTGCTTTTGCCATACTAGGAGCCTATGCGTCTGATTGTTTACCAAACTTTACGAAAGCATTTGCTTTTCT